GCATATTCATTAAATTTGTACAAAGTTATTTTGTACCCCGAGGAAATAGCTTGGAGTATAGTTGCACAACAATGGATAAGGTTTTCATTAAGCCCTGTAATTTCAGAAGCCAATTCTGGATTCGAGAAAAATTTTCTATCCACATTTCCATCGTTTGGACCTACGTCTCTGGGCTTGTCCACTATTACTCCCATTTTTTCCCAAAACGCCGCTTGAATTTTATGCTTTTGGAATTGTATGAAAGATGTAGAAGAAACGTATTTTCGAAATATTCTTTGTTTCTTTTCTTTCTTTAAACATTTATCCAAGTTATTCATCTCTTTTGGATTTGCTCTACATATAAAACATTTTGAAGAGGATGACTAACTCTATCATAGTCAGTTGTAAACTATGCTCAACAATTATCTTTTTATCATAAATAAAAAATTCTATCGGCTTGAGTTGAAGGATTTTTTTCTAAAGTATTTCTCCTCTTCGATTGGCAGTTCAGTTGTCTCTTTTTTGAACTGAAAACGAACTGGCCTGCAGTAACGTGTTGATGAAGGCCGCGGATTCTTCCAATTTTTGAAATTAGTTGGAGAGGTACGTATGATGTGACAAATAGGCTCTTGTCCTCTGAATCGTAACTTGAAAATCTTTGATTGTAGTCACTATGGCCCGTGCTTTCTTCAAAACCCCACTTTCCAATTAACGTTATGTTTTCAGTAGATTCATCGGTGATTGATTTATGTACATCTCCTTGAAGCTTCAATATACTTGATGCTGTATTATCCAATAAACTTTGCAACTCAATTTCAGCATGAGATTAATCTACTGATATATTTTTAAGGTATCTCTTTTATTTGCATTTACTATAGTTGGTAGCTTGGAAATAAGTCAAAGGATATTTTGCTATTAACGAAATTCCTTATAAGCAAATATTGACTTTTACACATGGAGGTGTCCATTGCATTAACGGCTGTTGGTGGACTCATCCATTTCAATTAGCTATGAGCTATACGACGTCGCTTTGTTCTAAATGAAGAATCCGCAAAATCAACCTTTCGACGACCACGATGAGCTCTTTCCGCTATTTACTGAGATGAATTTTTGGAGGACTTAAGGACAATTGACTATTTTACATTTAGCCAATCAATATTGTACAATTGATGACTTTTTCCGATCATACCAAGTCCAAAAAGCCGCAATTCTTTTACATTCTTTCTTGTAGCCAATCGATTTACAATGTTCGTTGAGTTCGAAATGTTAGCCGCTATTCTCAATATTATATTGAACATTGCTACCATTGCTACTGTCGAGAAAATACACAACGATACGAATCTCCTTTGGGAATGCAAACAAAAATAAAACGGAAAAATAATTAGAATTTTATGTAAATTAACTGACAAATATAAGCGCTAAACAATCACAAAAGACGAACACAAAGGCAGAGACAGAAAAGACGACACAGGCGCTCCGCTGCAGCGCGCTGACCCTAAAAATAAGAAGTGGTGTTAGCATATTAACGATTACAAATACATCGGCAACATCCGCACCTAACTTGAACGATTTTAAAATGTTAAAACTGTGATAAAGATAAAAAAAATAATCCTAATGGGGAATCGTGTGGGAACACAACTAAAACTTTAAGTAAACAAATTTAAGGCACACAAAAAAGGTACAAACAAATGGGTTTCTCATATCAAGTTAGTTTTTATTAATTTCATATCAAGTTAGTATAATTTAATTTCATAAAGTAAAAAATAAATTCCTTGAGCTTCATAATCCATTTTAAACAATATAAATTTTAAGCTTGAATAGTTACCAGCACGATTTGAAGTGCGCTTTTGCTTCGAAATATTTCACCAGAGCTCCGATGCGCTCTTGAAATGAACACGTGTTCATGATTTTATTTAAAGATTCTATTTTAAGAAAGTACCGTTAGGTTTCCAGCGAAAACCGGTTTGCAATTTGGACATTTTAGAGACAAACTGTTTAAATATTTTCTGATCGGTTTCTTTGATTTTTGGCCTCTGACGGAACCACTGTGCACTGGAGAGAAGTCGAGCTCCCGTCGGAGCGATGTACTTGAAGTTTACACAAGTCCTTCAGAATCTCCTTGGCTGTAGTGATTACTGGAGAGATGAAGCCTAAGGGGCCGTAGAGACGGGCCATTTAGTGCATGTGTGGTAAATTACAAATTTTATTTTAAAACTGTACTCTAGGTGAGTATGCCAACATAAACCTTATGTCTTTAAAGGATCCTGGTTGTCGAATTCCACAAAAATGACAAACTGGGATGTCCTGTAACAATGCTGAGCGAAGTGCTGCAACCAGTTTGTAACGAACTGATTTTTACGGTCTGCTCGCTAAAAGTATCGTGCGGCTAGCTCAGAAGATGTGTTTTGTTCGTCCCACCAAATTTATATAAACGTGACCGCCCGGTTATCTAGTGAGAACGCACAGAATGTTAGGATGTTTTTAGTAGGATCTTTATTCGCCGACTTGTCCCTCGGCCGGTTTGCAATTCGGCCTGGGACTAATGGTGACAGATGGTTGTCTCAACGCCTTTCCTGAAGAATTGTGGCTGCTCCACCGTCGCTCTCTGCTGCCTCGTTGCTAGCTTCTCCGGAACGCCTCCGTTGTCTTTGGCCTCGGGGCTATGAGGGTCTAGGGATGCGTTACCGTTCCCAGCCTAGGGTTCCCAGACTGGGCTCTCAAAGCGTACGCCTTTCGCAGCCACAGCCTTGCGTCCCTGGATCTGTCCCGGCCGGTCACACCAGACGCCTACACAGTTTCTACCTGACGGTTCAGACATACGCCAGAAGGCCGCCAATGCAGTCCATGTGGCAGGAAGCTAGGTTCAAGACGAACGCTTCCGCCCTCGCCTTTTAGCCGTGGACTGGACACGTCGAAGTATGGCTTGGTTGCTGCTGGGCCTGCAATGACTGCTCGTCGTTTCTTGTGTCCTCGATTTCCTTGCTCTGCTCACGGCGCGATATCCTAGCTCCGTTGTCTGCGTGCTCTTGTGAGACTAGTGCAGCGGGTCTTTGGCTCTCGGGATTCGGTCAGCTGCCTGTCTAGGACTCTGGCTGTGAACTACTGTGCTCTCGACGCATACGCCTCTCGAGACACCCGTGTTTCGGACGCGCGTCCTTCTTGGCTAGTCGCACCAGGGCCTTCACAATTCTCGCCTGCCGGTTCAGGCGTACGCCGGAATTCGACAATGGAATTGTTTTCGCACGGCAGCTGGTTCTGAACAACTTCCCTTCCGAGCCCACGGTTCTTTGTCGAAGCACTCTTTTTATTTAACTCTGTCGGACTCGCCGAGCAATATGCTAAGCTCAAATCGCGACAAGAATTAGAACAAAGCGTCTGGACTTACTTCCTCCTGATGTTAACTTGGCTTGTGTTATTCACTGATTTGCTTCTTGTCTACTGATCTCGTTGGATTGACTCCTTGTGGTCGACTGATCCCGCTTCCCGCGCTCGGCCTGCTTATATAGGCCGGCGTATCCCGTTAATTCTCGGCTTCTCCTTTTTCGTCTTTGCGCACGGCACTAAACTAGGTTCCGAAGTTCGCCGCCTTCTACCGTTACTCCTTCTCTCCAAACTCTCTCTCTCCTCGTTCTCTGCAAACTCTCTCCAGCCGTATTCTCAAAACTCTCTTCTCGTTTCTCTCCAAACTCTCTCCTCGTTTCTCTCTAAACTCTCTCCAGCTGTATTCTCCAAACTCTCTCCAGCTGTAGAAGCACCAAACTCTCTTTTATTTGTGAGGAGTTATTTAACTCCTTACATTCTCCCCTTTCTTCGGGAACGAAATGAGACTTGCACCTCCTCTCCGGCTGTTATTTTGGAGTTCTCTCTAGATCTGCTGTTCCTGATCGCTGATGTTGGTTCTCCTTCCCTCGACGTCTCTCCTTCTCGTTCTATGTAGTTCCTGCCACAAGATGTTTCCCTAATGGACTTGATTTTCTTTGCTCCGGCTGTCTTCCTTGTAAATCATTCGAGTCCTCCTGCTCCTAAAAATGGTTCCGTCGACGCTTGCAGCTCGTACCTGAGTTCCACAGCACCGATCCTTTATTTCTTTTCCCGCCCAAAATGTTTCCCCATAGACGTCTCGTGTTCTCCTTCCCGCTTGAATGTCCCGCCCAAGATGTTTCCCCCTTATGCTTCGCGTTCTAAGCATCTCCTTTCCTCCGTTGTTTGGTCACACTACCGCTTTCCCGATCGGTTTTCCAGCCGATCTCGATGATTAGAATTAGCGCAGCGTTGCCATCCGGTGGTGCCGATATTTTTTTAGAGTGACCCTTCCTGTGCCGACATCTCCAGTGTTCTGTGCCCATCGGTCGACACTATCGTCCTGTGCCAATCGACCGCTTATTAATCGAAGCGCCCCCATCCCTTTAGATGAGCGACATGACAAGAAATTTTCAATGGTAAGTTTTTTTCTTTCTCCACTTTCACCCTTCTCACTTTTTACTCTCTCTTTTAGCCTTTCGCCCTCCAGTCGCCTTTGGCCGTGGGGCCTCGATGTCGTGAACGGTGTTATTTAGTTGATTGTATTGTGCGCGTTTGTTATGTTTGCTGTGCCCGTGTTTCTGTGTTCCCTGTGCCAGCTCTGCTGTGCCATCTCTCCTCTTTCTTCGGCAGCCAGTAGATTCAAACTGCTTTAGTCCGTATAGAGTCTAACGACGCTACGGATTTGCAGTTGCTGTATAAACCTATTACATCCGGCGTATAGGCGGATGACTCGGGCGTATGCCCGACGCTGAATCCGATTGTCTTGTTGGGGTCACCTTATCACCTTATCTACGCGGCGTTTCGATGGATGACTCGGATTTATACCCGACGCGGAATCCGTCTGCCTCGTAGTCGGGGTCCCTAGCATCCTTTTTCATTCATGTCCTTGTGTCTTATCCTTGTGACTGTCCTTTTCGCGTGGCGTATGGATGACTCTCGCTTCGGCCTGACGCCTAATCCTGTTGCCTCGTAGTCTGGATCAAAGTGAAATCCTTGTCCTAGTTCTCCGATGTGTCCTCCGTCTGCTCTTTTGCCGTTTCTGATTGTTCCTGCTTAAGCTCGCCAACGTGAACCGTCCGCTCTTTCTTTGAATGTGTGTGCCGTATTTTGCAGATCACCGGAGAGACGAAATCCATAACCTGGTAAGGGACATCGTACCTCGGGGCTAGTTTGGCAGCAAATCCCTCGGCTGCTTTGGATAGGTGGTGTTCTTTGGCCCACACTATGCCACCCACCTCTGGTGTCCACTGCCTCCTCCTCATGGGATGCTTTTTCCATATTTCGACGTACGATTTCGAAGATTTCTTTAAACTTAGCGGCCTTCTCGTCTGGAGTCTCTGTGTTTCTCACAGAGCCTGAAGTTTCTCTGTCATATAATGCGTTTGGCAAACGGGGTTCCCGGCCTTGTGTGAAAAATGCTGGGGAGTATCCAGTTAATTCAGATATGCTTGAGTTCACTGCTAGCATAATCTCTGGCCAGTTCTCGTCCCAAGTTCTTTGATCCTTTCCTGCGAATTGAGCTATCATCGTCTTTATTTTACGGTTAGCCCGTTCTGTTGGGTTTTCCTGCGGTGTGTAGGGCGCCGTGAATTGCTGCTTTATTCCCATTTCGCTAAGAAATCTTTTGAAGGATCGACTGGTGAACTGTACTTCGTTGTCGGTTTTCACTATCTTTGGAGCCCCGAACCTTGATATTATGCGTTCTCTGAACGCCCTCTGTAGGGTCTCCGCTGTTGCTGTTCGTAGCGGCACAATTTCCGTCCATTTGGAAAACCGATCGATTAACACAAGTATCATCTGATTTCCGTGCCTATCTCGGCAATGGCTCGACGAAATCCGTACATACTGTTGCCCATGGTTCTTCTGGTACCTGAGTGAGCATTTTCCCTGCAGCCTGCATCTGATTGGGCTTGTACTTCAGGCAAACTTCACACTTGCGTACATGGGTCCTGGCGTCTCTGTGCATTCCTGGGCAGTAGTACCGGGCTGACCAGCGGATGGGGAGTCATAGTTTTCTTCTAGTACGGCTGTCTTAGACCTTGCGGAACGCACAGTTTCCAAGCCACGACATCTTCATTGCCCGCTCTTTGGGGAATGTGCCTATAGAGTGACTCGCCTTCCATCTGGATATTTTTGTGGTTGGGCTTTTATTTTCTCGCACATACTCCTGATCCAGCAGCAGCTATTGGTCGGTTTTGCCGATGTGTCTTTCATGCCCCTAATAGTCTCCGGCAATGGTTGTCGAGATAGGGCATCTGCCACCACATTCAGCTGTCCTTTCCTGTACGCTATCTCGAAGTCGTACTGCTGTAACTCCAGGGCTCATCTTGCTATCCTTCCAGAAGGGCTTTCTATACTGTTTAACCACTTTAAAGCCATGTGGTCTGTAACCACTTTAAAATGGTAGCCCTCCAAATAAGGTTTCAGCTTTCTGATTGCACACACGATTGCCAAGCACTCCTTTTCTGTTGTGGAATAATTTTCTCCGCGCCGTTCAGGGTCCGGCTTGAGTATGAAATGACCTTTTGCATTTATCGGCGTTTATTCTTTAGTTGACTTCCTCTAGGAGCTTAAACACTTTCTTTAGGTTCTCCACGTGTTGTTTCACGTGTTCTTTACGTGACATCACAATGATGTCATCTTGGTATGCAAACGCGTATGGTGACATCTCCGGGCCGATTACCTGATCTATAGCCCTTTGGAACGTGGCCGATGCTGAATGTAGTCCCAAAGGCATTACTTTCCATTGGAACAAACCTTTGCCGGGTACTGTAAACGCCGTATATTGCCTACTATTTACCTCCAAAGGGACTTGCCAATATCCGTCTTTTAAGTCTAGACTGCTTATGTATTTTGCCTCTCTGAGTTGGTCCAGGATATAATTGATCCGCGGCATCGGGTAGGCATCTTTTTGGACTTCGCGTTTATTTGTCTGAAATCAACGCATAGCCTCCACTTGCCCATCTTCTTTTTCACCATTACGATGGGCGAGCTGTATGGACTTCTAGAATGTTCTATAAAGCCCATTTGTAACAGCTCGTCCACTTTTGCGTTGATCTCTCCTTGGACTTTTGGGTTCTTAGGATAATACCTCTGTTTGATTGGCTTGTCGTCTTTCGTGATGATTTGGTGCTCGGCCACTGTAGATGTTCCTGACATGTCGAGGAATTTCTCAATGTCCTCTTCATCACTTAAGTGTGAATCTATAGCCACCGACAGCCTTTCTTCCAGACATCCATTGTACCGTTTTCTTGTAGGTATTCGCAATTCATGCCCGGCACATTTTATTTCCGCCCCGACTCCCGTGAGGAAATTCCATCCCAGCACTAGTTCATCCACTACTCCTGGAAGTATTAGCAGATTCATCTCCAATTGCTTGCTTCCAAATTTCACCGTGATCTCGAGCTGTGAGCTTATTCTGCCGCATCTGCCGTCTGCCAACCTAACATGCCGTCTTGTCCTTGTGATCCTTCCCTTGTCAGCCAGTCTATCCGCTAGCTCCTCGTTAATGAAGCTTGACGTGGCTCCCGTGTCAATTGTGGCCGGACGCGGATAACTGCTGCTCTTCCTCGATCAAATTGCCGGTTAGTTTGGAGAGGAGGCACCTTGCGTCCTGTGCGCCTCTCTGCGACTGGGATCGCTGCCCATTTCGTGGAAACTTGTGTTCGTGGACGAATTCTTATCGCTTTTTGTCCAGCTCTTCGTACTCGTCAGCCAGGATCATTAATGTGTCCAGATCATCCACCTTGTATGTTCTTAATGAAATTCTCAGGTCTGGTGTGCAGTTGTCCTTGATTATTTCTAGGGTCTCTTTTGGGGAGTACCCGAGTGGCCTGCATGTCCACCATGTAATCTTTGAACGGTTCCCTGAAACCCTGTTTCCGCTGTTTCACCTTGTCTGCCAACTTCGAGAAGAACCCTTTCGGCAGAAAGTATTTCTGGAAACTTTCGCTGAACTCTCCCCATGTTCTCCAATGTTTATTGTTTGAAAGAAACCATTTCAGTGCTTTGCCTTGCAATAGCTCTGGCATTGCACGGCGGATCATGTTCAGGTTCAGACCGTACGTGTTTGCGGACCACTCTACCTGTTCTAGGAATTCCAGTGGCTTCTCTGTGCCATCGAATTTGAACGACCATTCTCTCACTTGCTGTGCGATTTTGGCGTAATCTGGTGTGCTAGGTCTTTGCTGCCCTGATTTTCTCTCTTGGCTTGTGTTTCAACTCCTGCCCGCTTCCTTCATGCTGCCCACTCCAAGACTTGCTATGAGCTCCTCGGCGTCAGGGTTCAGTAATTTGACAGTTGGGCCTGGCTTATTGTCGTACTTCTCTTCCAACTCAGCCCAGATATCTGCTACTCCAGGGTCATTCTGTTTCCTTGTTAGGTATTCTGAGAGGGCTTTCCTCATGTCATCCGCCCTACCCTCCAAAGTGATGCCTAAAATAGGAGGCAATATTTTTGCGAAATCCTCTTTCTGGAGGAGATATATCCATCCTTTCCCCATTCTTGTTTAGATGTTGATTCTCACCGACCGGACAATCACGTTTTGGGCGCCAGATGTAACGAACTGATTTTTACGGTCTGCTCGCTACGAGTATCGTGCAGCCGCACGAAGATGCGCAGCTCAGAAGATGTGTGCTGCTCGTCCCACCAAATTTATATAAACGTGACAACCCGATTGTCTAGTGAGAACGCACAGAATGTAAGGATGTTTTTAGTAGGATCTTTATTCGCCGAATTGTCCCTCGGCCTGGGACTAATGGTGACAGATGGTTGTGTAACGACCTGTTTCTTTAATTTCTGCTCGCTACGTAAACGTGCTGCTAGCTCAGAGAGGTTGTGAGTTCGTTCCACCAAATTTATATTGAGTGACCGCCCGTGACCAAAGGATAACGCCAGAAATGATTAGGTTGGTGCTGGTTTATTGTTTCTCTAAAATATAGCCTTATTGCTATTAGTCTGCAACCCATTGTCGCTGCTGCGTCGCTCCTGGCCTGCTACTGCGTCGTTCCTGGCCTGCTGCTCCAGGTGACTGAGATCGGGACGGCTCCAACAAAAACCCTGGATGTTATGCGAGATTCCCTACCGGGGCCGGCAAGGTGTATCGCCCAGCAGGTGAACCGAAGTTACGCCTTATCGCCTAGCCACCTTTATCGCCTGGCTTCCGGAGTTCAGCCTGGACTTCGTCGGCAAGGTGTATAGCCTAGCAGGTAGAACAAAGTTCTCCCTTATCGCCTAGCCACCTTTATCGCCTGACACCGCGCAAGGACTCCCTAAGTTTGACTTTACCACGACCTAGCACCGTTGGATCTCAGCGTTGTAGCCTCAGCCTTGTAGACTTGTCGTCGTTTGGCGTCTTGACTTTGCGATCTTGATCCTTGGGCACTTCGGTTTCGATGTTTACTTATTCCGCGTTCACGCACTCGCTCTGATTCTCGCACTCGTACTGTCCAGAGCTGCGCTTGCGCCGTCCTTTTTATAGGCTCTGTAGGTGCCGTTATTTCCCTCGGGTCCAAGGTCCACTGAGATACCGTTAATTCACGGTGTGTCCTCTTTGGGCGGGTCCGAAGTCCGCCAATTTACCGTATGACCTCGTTGCCCTTGCCGGGCGCGGGTCCAAGGTCCATCGAGGTTCCGTTAGTTCACGGTGTGTATGACCTCGTTGCCCTTGCCATATGAGGGTCCAAGGTCCGAATGTTTCCCGTTTGACCTGAATGACCTTCATTTCTCCGGCTTTCTCGCCTCCTCCGCTGTTGCTAGGCCGATCTCCTGCATCGGAATTTGTGGGGAGTTTATGACTCCTCACATTTCCCCCTTCCTTCGGAAACGTAATGAAAGTGGTGACTTTCCCCGCCCTTGATGTTTAGACTACTCGAATTCCCCGCCTGACTTGCGTGTTAGGTGTTCCCCAGACAGTTCCCCGAAAGACTTAATTTTACCCCAGACTGTTCTCCTAAAAGACTTTACTCGTACAGCTCCTTGAAAGACTTGAACTTTCCCGCGACTGTTTCACTAAAAGACTTTTCAATGCAGCTCCTTGAAAGATTATTTCCCCAGACTGTTTCCCTGTTCCCCAGACAGTTCCCAGTTCCCAGACAGTTCCCAGTTCCCCAGACAGTTCCCTGCGTGGAATTCGAATTTTCCCGCCCAGACATTTCCCCAAACTAAAATTCACCATTCCGTTTTCCCTCGGTCCGGCAACTCCCTGGAATCTCACCACGATCGCGTTTATCGATTGTGGGTTCCAGTGTTGCCATCGTCGTTGCCTTTTCGTTGTCTTAAGTTGCCATTTGAATTTTTAAACATAGAAATAACCAATTTTTGTTAACCCATCGATCGCAACTATCGATCGACCGCCTATCTCGGCGCCCCCGTCCCTATTGCCTATGTCCGGCAACCCATTACTCCAAAATGTAAATAAACAAATCAATTTGTGTGTTAAAACCCTTAAAGGCCTTTTATTGGGCCCTCAAGACCCTTACTACCCCGCTTGCCACCCGGATGCGGTAGCGGACGCCATCCACCACTATTAACTTGGCCCAGCGACTGCTCCGAGCCCTCTGCACCTGCCTGCCAGCCTCGGATGCCACCCTCGGCGGCCACCCTCCCTCGGCCACCTCCTCCCTGCGGCTGCTGTCCGCCGACTGCTGGCGACTCATACGCGGCCTTGCTGGAGGGCACCGAGGCTCCGGGCATGACGGCTCCCCTGGCGGCGGCCACACCCAGGGTCCCTTCTCCAGACCCTCCGGGTCTACGCCGAGCCGTTTTGTTGGCCGCGGCGATGGCGTGAGCACCCACGGCAGCGGTGGAGGCGGCGGTGTTCCTGCTCCGTGCCGAGGTGCCTGCGGCGGTGACGGTGGTGGCGGTGTTGCTGCCCGGGGTGGCGGTGTTGCTGCCCGGGGCAGCGACGGTGGTGGCGGTGTTGCTGCCCGGGGCGGCGACGGCGGTGGCGGTGGCGATGGTGATGGCGGTGGTGCTCCCCGCGGCCTCTTCGGCCTCAGCCTCATCCAGCCGCTTTTGCCACTCTCTGGCTGCGGCGACTGCCCGTGACCTCCGCCCGGGTTGCGAATATCCGCTTCGCCTCCTCCGGGCGGCCCGATGGCGCTGCGTCGCCCAAGCGGATCCGCCCGAATCCGGCTGCGGCCCTCCGTATTCTCTGGAATGCCATCCGGGCCTTCGCCGCCCGACGTGGCTCGTCCTCCTCGTCTGAGGAAACCTCCGGACTCACCGTCTCCGTCCCGGTGTCCTCCTCCTCTTCTGAGACCAGGTCGATCGTGGGCACCTCGGCCTCCTGCCCTGCCGACCGGACGCCGGCCTCCTCCTCCTCCTACAGTTCTACGTCGGTGATCCGCTCCTCGTCCTCGGGGTTCGGCGACGGGGACCGCGACACCAGGGGGACGCCAGCAGCTGGAGTGCGGAACCTGAGTCCGCCTCCATCTCGCCGCTGGCTGTTTCCCAGTGCTGCCTCCCCGCCCCTCTCCCCTCACGGCCTTACTGTTGCTGCTGCTGCTTCTGTACATCTTGGCGTCCTGATTCAAATAGGCCCGTCTTGTGGCGCTCGCACGCTGACGAAACCTCGGTTTCCTATTTTCCTGTTTCCGTTATCCGCGGCGGCCTTTGGACTTTCCCTTGCTACGGGCTCCGACGGGTCCTCTCTTTGGTGTGCGTTACCCGGTAACGGTATCCGCATCCTAAGACCCTCCCTCTCCCGCTCCTATTGCATCTGTGTGAGTTCGATACTGTGTATCGTCCTCTCCCTCTCTTTGGATTCACAGTGGGCCCCCGCTAAGTCCGACTTTGATCCTCGGATTTGGCCACCAATGAATTATTGTTTTAATTGGCTAACGTGGGCGGTTTTTTCTTTGCCAGTATTTTCATGCCGCAATTTGCAATTGCATTGCGTTTGCCTTCCTGTGCCGATTGTTCCTTCGTCGTACAGTGCGCTGGGTAACCTAGGCTCTCTTCCTTGCGTAATAAAGGCGGGCGAATATCCCGTGGATTCAGCCACGCTCGTATTCACGGCCAACTGCAGTTCCGGACACTTTTCGTCCCAAGTCCTTTGGTCTGCCCCGGTGAACTGGGCGATCATCGTTTTCACCGTCCTTTTGGCTCTCTCCGTCGGGTTTTCCTGGGGCGTGTATGGGGCCGTAAACTGGTGTCGGACGCCTAATTCACCCAGGAATTTTTTAAACGCCCTGCTGGTGAACTGAACGCCATTGTCTGTAATCAGCACCTTGGGTACGCCGTATCTTGCGAGGATCCGCTCGCGGATCGCCTTTTCCAGAGTTTCCGTCGGTGCCCTGAACCTATCTACCAGCACTAGTAGCATAGAATTCCCGTGTTTGGAGCGGGGCAGTGCTCCGACGAAATCTGCGCACACAGTGGCCCACGGCTCTTCCGGTACTTGGGTCAGCATTTTCCCGGCCGCCTGTAGTTGGCTTGGCTTATATCGTAGGCAGCTCTCGCAGTTTTGCACATATTTCCTTATGTCGCGGTGCATTCCCGGCCAATGGTATCTTGCTGCGACTCTGGCAATTGTCTTCCGACTGCCCATGTGGCCAGCTGTCGGTGAGTTGTGGTTCTCCGACATTACCCGCCGCCTGGACCCCGTTGGCACGCACAGCTTCCATGATTACATCCTTGTTGCCTGTTCTGTGTATGTGGTATGTGGCGATATAGCTGGTCGGCTTCTGTCATGTAGTCTGGATATTTTTGGGGATTTTGGGAAATCTTGGTCCGCATATCCCCTATCCAGTTACACTCGCCGGTTTCCTTGTGCTGTTCCTGTGTTTTTACCCGTCGACACGTTTCTGGCAGTGGCTGTCGTGATAGTGCGTCTGCTACTATATTCAGCTGGCCCTTTCTGTACGCGATCTCAAAGTCATATTGCTGCAGTTCCAGCGCCCACCGTGCGATTCTTCCGGTTGGGCTCTCGATGCTATTCAACCACTTCAGTGCCATATGATCCGTGATCACTTTGAAATGGTAGCCCTCCAAGTATGGCCTTAACTTGCGTATGGCCCACATAATTGCCAGGCATTCCTTCTCAGTCGCTGAGAAATTTCTTTCCGAACCATTCAGGGACCTACTGGAATACGAGATCACCCTCTCGCCTTGGTCGGAATTCTGTGTGAGAATAGCACCGAGCCCGTAATCGCTGGCGTCGGTCTGCAGCACAAACGTCTTTGTGAAATCTGGGCATGCTAAGATTGGGTCTGCGATTAGCCTGGCCTTGACAGCTTCAAACGCCTGTTGATGATCCTCTGTCCATTCCCATTTTGTGCTTTTCCGGAGCAGGCGATTCAACGGATGCACCAACGTTGCAAAATCTCCCAAATATTGTCGTAACTCCTTAACGTTGGCCGGGGGTTTTATTAAGGCAATTGCCGACACTTTTTCTGGGTCTGTTCCTATGCCTTGGTCTGTTGGTCTGCGATGCCCCAAGTATTACAGTTCTTTTCTAAAAAACGTGCATTTTTCCGCATTTACTGCCACCCTGAAGGCAGCCCGTAGTCTCCTAAACACTTCCTTCAGGTTTTCCATGTGCTCTTCGAGCGTTCGTCCGATGACGATAATGTCGTCCTGATACGCGAAAGCGTGCGGCATCGCTGGAATGTTGCCGACGCGGAGTGTAGGCCAAATGGCATCACCTTCCATTGGAACAGGCCCTTCCCTGGTACAGTAAACGCCGTGTACTGCCTGCTGTCTGCCTCCAAGGGGATCTGCCAGTAACCGTCCTTTAGGTCGAGACTGCTGATGTACTTCGCCTCCCGCAGCTGGTCCAGGATCTAATTTATCATCGGCATCGGGTATGCGTCCTTTACGGACCTCGCGTTTATTTGCCGGAAATCCACACACAGCCTCCACTTTCCAGTCTTCTTTCCCCCAATAAATTAGGGGGGGGTGGGAAAACCCCCCCCCGTCGATACATCCTTTTTCCAGCAGCTCGCCTACCTTGGCATTTATCTCACCCTGCATTTTTGGATTTTTAGCTGTTTGACTGGTTGGTCGTCCTTCATGGTGATCCTATGTATGGCCACGTTGGATGTTCCCTTTATGCCTTCCAGTTCGTCCAACTCGGCTTTTAGAAATCCCTCCACATCCTTTTCCGCAAATCTTTTGGGTGTTTCAACTATTGCCACAAACAGTTTCTCTTCCAGCGTCCTCCTCGTCTATCCCTTGCCCCGATTCTGGTGAGGAGATTCCATCCCAACACCAGATCGTCTATCAGTCCTGGTAAAATCAGCAGCTCCATTGACACAGTTTTCGTGCCCAGTCCAATTTTGGTCTCCAGCTGTGATTTTATTTCCCCGCAGCGACCGTCTGCCATCCGTACTTGCCTGCAGGCTGTCCGCCAGCTCTTCGCTGATGAAGCTCGCCGTGGCGCCGGTATCCACCGTGGCCTTAATTTTACTTTCACCTATTAGTAGGTCGCCCATTAATTTCGAGAGGCAGCACCTTGCGATCCCTGTCCGCCCCTCGGACGCTGGGGTCGCTGGGCGTTTCCCGACCCGGAACAGCACTGAACCGTCCGAGCTCCTATTTTTCCGCATCGCCAGCAGAACTTAAGCCGTTGGTTTCGGCATTCCTTCGCCCAGTGGTCTGGACCCCCGCATCTGCGGCAGGCCTGGGTAGGATTTGCTACGTATCCGCCGCGATTGTTTGCTGATTCGTGGCCGCGCGGCGTATTTCGTTGTTGTGCGTCCGGGTCCTCCAGGCACCGCCTGCACACCGCACCCTGGTCTGTTCTTGGCCTTGGTACTGCCCTTGCTGCTTACGGGGATTGTTTTCCAGCTCGAACTTCTCCCGCTGCTGGTCGAGCTCCTCAAACTCGTCTGCCAGCGCCATCAGGGTCTCCAAATTTCGACATTCGTATGGGCGAACGAACATTCGGAGTGCCGGCGTGCTGTTCTCTTTTATTCTCTCCAGCGTTTCTTTGGTCGACATATTCAGTGGCCGCATCAGGGTCTACATGTCCACCATGAAATCTTTGAAGCTTTCCCCGTAGGCTTGCTTCCTCTGTCTGACCTGGTCCGCCAGCTTCGCCATGTATCCTCAGGGAAGAAAGTAATTTTGGAAGCTGTATATAAAGTCTCCCCAGGTCTCCCAGTGCCGATTGTTGGCGATGAACCACTTCAAGGCTCTGCCTTGGAGCAGCTCCGGCATTGCTCGTGGGATCTGGTTTATGTCGAGACCGTAAGTCACGACTGACCACTCTTCTTGCTCCAAAAATTCCAGAGGCTTGTCGTTTCCGTCGTAGCGGAAATTCCACTCCCGGACCTGCTTGGCCACCTTCGCGTAGTCCTGCGTGTGCGTCCTGGAACTCTCCTTTCTTTCCCGGCTACTCTCCCGCTGCCGGCTTGCGTGGCTTGCGATTGTGAAATTGAATTTTGGCGTGGGCATTTTCCGGAATTTCAGGCCCGTTACCAAATCGGCGATGTCCGGCTCCTCTGCCGTCTGGTCGACGAAGTCTCCCAGAGTCTTCCTCATCGAATCGAGCCCTCCAGTTCTATTCCCAGAACTTGACTCACCTCGTCGAAGTCCTCCTTCCTGAGATTATAAATCCAGGACTTCACCATCTCGGAACTTTTGTTTCCTTGGTCAGGACAATCACTCTTGGGCGCTAGATGTAACGACCTGATTCTTTTTTTTCTGCTCGCTACGCAAACGTGCGGCTAGCTCAGAGAGGTTGTAAGTTCGTTCCACCAAATTTATATTGAGTGACCGCCCGTGACCAAAGGATAACGCCAGAAATGATTAGGTTGGTGCTGGTTTATTGTTTCTCTAAGATATAGCCTTATTGCTATTAATCCGCTGCCCGTTGTCGCTGTCTTCTGCTGCGTTGCTCATGGCTCGCTGCTGCTGTGCTCCTGGCGTGCTGCTGCGTCGCTCTTGGCTTACCGCTGTGTCGCTCCTGGCCTGCTACTGCGCTGCTTCGGCTTGCTGCTCCGGGTGACTGAGATCGGGACGGCTCCACCAAAAACCCTGGATGTTATGCGAGCTTCCCTACCAGGGCCGGCAAGGTATATCGCTTAGCAGGTAAACCGAAGTTACGCCTTATCGCCTAGCCACCTTTATTGCCTGGCTTCCGGAGTTCAGCCTGGACTTTGTCGGGAAGGTGTATCGCCTAGCAGGTAGAACAAAGTTCTCCCTTATCGCCTAGCCACCTTTATCGCCTGACACCGCGCAAAGACTCCCTAAGTTTGACTTTACCACGACCTAGCCCCGTTGGATCTCAGCGTTGTAGCCTCAGCCTTGTAGACTTGTCGTCGTTCGGCGTCTCGACTTTACGATCTCGATTCCGCGTTCACGCACTCGCTCTGATTCTCGCACTCGAAGTGTCCCGAGCTGCGCTTGCGCCGTCCTTTTTTTAGGCTCTGTAGGTGCCGTTATTTCCCTCGGGTCCAAGGTCCACTGAGGTACCGTTAATTCACGGTGTGTCCTCTTTGGGCGGTTCCGAAGTCCGCCAATTCACCGTATGACCTCGTTGCCCTTGCCATATGAGGGTCCAAGGTCCGAA